GTTAGGTATTTTTTGGGGATCCAATTTGGGTTATTTCATAACGTTTAAAGCCAGCATCATCAATATATCCCTCAATTGCTCATGCTAAGGTTAAATTTGGTTAGAAATTATATTTTTCTCTTTTTCTCATTTTGTGATTTGTGTTTAGTATGAGTTACTTATAATTAAGTGACATCATTATCGCCGGGTCAAGTGACGTCACGGCGTCTATAAGTCCACATCACCGATTTTGACGTGGCGCTTCTGTAGATGCCCTGACGGCTCAGTAGTCGACGGCGGCTACCAGTTTTTAACTTATCCTCTTCAGCGCGTGCATTCCACGCCTGAGATTCTTATTTAAGAGGATCCCTTCTTAAGAGAGCCTATTAAAGTTGTAATTATTTTCCTCGTAAAATCTTGTTACTTCGTTGACAAAAAAAAGTATTGGTACTTCTAACTTATATTGTTGAGGCAAAAAAAAAACTTATTTTGTTGTAAAACATATGTTTTCGATTATCTTCACGAGCCTTTTTTTTTCATGGTAAACTTGAGTTGTTTTCGGCATGTAAATTTTTTAAAGTTCAAAAATAAATAGTAGGGTAACTCTTTTTTTTTTTTACAAAAAAAAAAGTAGGGTAACTCTAACAATCTATTTAGGTTTTCTAACAATCTAGTAGGACCGTAACTATATATTTAAAAGAGAGTTCGTGGAGTAACAAAACGGTAGATACATGCGCGTGGTCAAACGCGCCGTCGGTTAAACACCATTTAATATTTTGTTTGCTGTAACTTCTCTCCTTTTCCCATTAATTTCCACCCTCCTTCCTAAAAACCCACAAACCAAAGATTAAAACTTTATTATATATATTTAAATATTGTGCTAAAACAAAAGAAGAAGCTCACATCTACATTTTCTTTTATACAGAACCCCAAAAAAAAAAAAATGGAGTCATCGACGCTTCTCATAAACCAGAGAAAGTGTTCATCAACGTCTCCGACGAGGAAACCACCGAAGCAAAAGAGAAAGAATACAACAACAACGACGACGAACAAACCCATCAAAGTCAGATACATATCAAATCCGATGAGAGTAGAAACTTGTGCTTCTAAGTTTAGAGAGCTTGTTCAAGAACTCACCGGTCAAGACGCCGCCGATCTACCACCGGAGCCAACAACTTTCGCCGCCGCAGAAGACCACCACCACCAGTCGGAGATTAATCCTGCGCCGTTGGATGAAGGGATCAGTTCAGAGTATTATTCACCGTTGGATCATGAGGAAGTGATGTTTAATAATGTTCCTCAAATGTCGGCAGGTCTTTCTGGGTTTTTCTCGTCTGGGTTTTACAATGTGAATGCTTTAGGAAGCATTGGTTCTCTCTGAAAACAATCTTTCTTATAATTTTTTTTTTTGAAACTTATCTCTCTTATATATTTTTTTATATATAAAAAATGTAAGCTTCGGCACTGAATAACACCGAACAGAAGAAGATAATGATCTTTATAGTTTTGTTTGTTTTGCGTTTGTGAGTATAAAAATAGCAAATCGTATTCGTTTTCAATGATGAAATATTGAATTTGTTTGTTTTTTTTCTTATTTATCAAAAGAACTTGGTGTTGTAAAAATATATAGAGCATTTGTTAGGTTGGTCGATTTATGTGATAGTGGTAACATATCATTTTTTTCATCATTGTAAGAAATGACATCAAATTTGCAATTCGGTGGTGATGCAATCAGTTTGATCTCCGATGTAGAAAATCATCGGAAATGAGAAGAAAAAAAAACAACATTTAATTTAGAGCTTTTATGTTATTGTGGACTTTAGTAAAAACATTTGGATAGATGTATGATGTATCTCTCTTTTTGGATTTTGATAGATATTTTCTGTGACAAAAAAAAAAGAAGAAGAAATTTTTAAAGGATGACCCCAACTACGTACGCAATCAATAATTTTTGTTTTTTTTTGAACTTTTACAATACTACAGTGTCTTTATATAATTGATCAAATGCGAAATTTGATACAATTATTTTCTTTATTTTCATAATTTTTACTAATCACCTTTTTGTTTGGTCAACTTTTTACTAATCACATTATTTTACGAACAATTCTTGGGATGCAATCATTCATTTGTCTTTTAATTTGTAGAATAGTAGTAGATGCAACAACATCTCTAGAGGTGATACCAAGAATTTTTCTTGTTTTACAGAACTAAAATGTATGTTGCATCTACTACTATTCTACTAATTAAAAGACAAATAAATGAATTATTTTCTGAATCGATCACTATGTGAA